AGAAAGGGCTCCCAACTCAAGAAAAGGAAAAGAAAACAAACAATTCAAAACAAACAAATGAACAAAATCCTCGGGATCCCACCAGCATGGCAGCCCAAACCGGGAAGCAGCTTCACACTCGAACGGAGCTCCGCAGCCCCTCAGGAAGAAGCAAATATGGTGCACGGAGCTAGGTACTTGAGTGAAGGGCGGGGGAGGTGGCGAGAGGCAAGTAAGAAATCAAAAGAAGCAGAAAAACAAAACAAAACAAAACAACACTAGCAGCCAACAAATGGCACTCAGAGAGCCAGCTAGTGCGGGCTGGTGTTTCTGGACAAGAGACTGTGTCCGTGGGAAGCAGAGGGGGCCGAGTGTGGGTGAAGAAGTGTAGAGAGTGGGAAAGCATATATCACAAATTACCGGAGCTCTGCAGCCCCTCAGGAAGAAGCAAAGATGGCACACAGAGCGAGGTACTCGAGTGAAAGGAGGGGGAGGTGGGGAGAGGCAAGGAAGAAATAAAACGAAGTGGAAAAAAACCAACACCAGCAGCCAACAAATGGCACTCAGATAGCCACCCGTTCGGGTATGTGGAATTCAAGCAGCTGCTGTTTCCTGGTGAAGAGACTGTGGCCACGGGAAGCAGAGGAAGCCGAGTCAGGGTGAAGAAGGGTGGGGGGGAAGCGTATATCACCAATTACCGGTTGTTTTGTCTCCCGCTGGAAGCTCCGTGAGGCTGCTTTCTCGTACCCCCTGTTTGCTGGTCTCCGATACGAGTCCAAGATAGTGGATCCGCGCTGCGTTAGCTGGTAGGGGACCACTGCATGAATCTCTCCTCGCTCTCCGTTCTCTGTCAGTTTTCTCACTCCATTTGGTGCTTGGCTGAGTTCTTTATCTCTGCATTTGATGTTTTAGGGTTTCGGGATTGTTGTTTTCTCTGTTCGGCTTAGTTTTTTCGATCTTTGCTGTGGAGGGACGGCGTGGTGCTTCTGCCTAGAGCGACATTTTGCCGGAACTCAAATCTGGTCTTTTTTTTGTGAGTTAGAATTTCATTCTACATCCTTCTCCAGCTCTGTCCAGAACCCTCTGTTGTGATCCTGGTCAGAGCAGTAGTGGTGGTAGCCAGCCACCATCTAACTGTATTGGGCTCAGTCCAGTGGAGGCCTTTGTAGCTGTGGTCCATTAGTCCTTTGGACTAAT